ACCCGCTCCCCACGAGCGGCGGCACCGCGCCTCAGCCCCCGGCGCGCTGCAGCATCCTCCCACCTGTGGAGGGGAGAGGGGAGAAAGTCACCCGCAGGACAGAGCACCCAGAGACACCGCGAGATCCCCCCCGGGATGCTCGATTCGATTCGGCCCATCCGACCGCATCCTCGCAGGACCGTCCCAGCCCCGCCGGAGCGCGGGTGAGCTCTGCCAGGTGCTGCGCAAACAAAACGCGAGGTAAGAAAAATGGTGGGACTTCCAGAGCCCAGAGCTCCCCAGATTTAATGTTTCCAGGTTTGACATGTATTTACAAACACAGTAAAACCTTTCTTTAAATAAAAAATGGAGTCGGCTCAGAGAGTTTCAGGGCAGGGGGCTCAAATACTCTGCAGCAAATCGACCCTTGGGAAAAGCCACCAAATAAATCCAAGATTAACATTCACTTTAAAACCATAAACAGATTATACAGCTACTGCTTCTCATTTGGAAATGCAGGGCCAAATTCAGTACTGGATTAACTCCACCGTTGAAACAGAATTACCCCAGGAACACTTTTGATCCATAATATCATTTTCAAAGGCTTTTTGCTAAGCGGCAGGCAGAGTTCAAGACAACTGTCCCTAAAATGGTATTTAATTCAGAAGAACGTGCCAAGCACATTTCTTAGCGAAATGGGGTATAATCAGATTCAAAGCCATTAAGCAGAGCAGTCACCTCTGAAGGTCACCTGGGCTCTCCCCTGCCCGTGGCGAGGCCGCACATGACAGCCCCGTCCCCAGCGCTCGCCCCCCTTGGCCGCCGCGCCGGCTCGCAGCCCCGACCTGCTCCGAGGGGCTTCCGGAAGCTGCCGAGAGCGAAACCCACTTGCGACACCTGGGAAACTGGGCACGAACTCGGGGAGAAGGTGTATTTTGGCAAATTACTGTTGTGGTTAACCCCCGGTGTTGTCCCCAGGGACAGCCCTGCTCTGGCTCAGCACCCAGAGGAATCGCTGATGTCTCCGGAGGCCAGGGGGATGATGCCTGCTCTGTGGGCACACTCCGCTCTCCCTCTCTTTTTTTTTTTTTTTCCCAATCCTGGATGCATCTGCACCCAGATGCACCGAGCGTGCCGTGAGCGAGCCTGGACTGCAGCGTTTAACAGATCACTCAGCCGAGCACTGTCTCTGTCCCAGGATCGGCTCCCGCTCGCCGGCAGCGGAGCAGCGTTGTGTGAGCGGAGCAGAACAATTCCGACAGCCCTGCCCGGCTCTATTCACCGAGGACAAATAAATCTGCTGGAGTCAATTAATAAAATACTGCTTCTCAGTTCCTCCTCTGCTATCATGACTCATTCATAGCAAAGAGCCGGCATTGTTCGCACCTCTGGTATTATACTTTAATTGTAATATTGCATGGCTGGTTTAGTCACATATTAAATTGAGTTATTACACATTCACAGGGTGCACGCGCTCCTCTAAAGATCTGGCTCCTCCGAGAGGATGGGGAAAGAGCCTGGACATCAAGGGGAAAACCGGTTAGAGAGGACACACCGCAAACACACGCGTGATCCAAACGTGAAGGTGAGAGCTTCTCCAGAGAACCATTAGCTCTGCGATGCCGGGCTAGCCCTCAAACCTCAAACAGTGAAGTCAGCCTCCCAGATCAGGAAATGGGCTTGAAAACCCCCCAGATCTATGTAAAAATAGTAACGTTTATAAAGTAACAAGAAGCACCTGTGGTTGGGGGTCTTTGTCTCCCAGTGTTTGACCTCTGAGTGTGTATTTCAGGATTTCTCTGTAAGCACAAAGGCTGGGAAATCCCACTGAGTGGAGGCAAAGCCGCCAGCCCACCGCGCTGGCAACCCCCCTGCAGCCCCTCTGCCCCGCCGAGGGCCCGGCTCCTCCTGACCCCAACGCCTCTGTTCTGGGGAAGGTGTTAGTCGACTAACGCGACACGCCAGCCTGGGACACCCGGCTGAAATCACAGCCCACGCTGGGCAGCGTGACCGAGCGCAGCAACGCGCTGAGAAACTGAGCGCTTCTGCTCAGAAGACGAACAGAATTAGGGACGGGGGCGAGATATTTATGCACCAAAAAGGCTCCGCTGCACATCTGCCTTCAAGCGACCCCGAGCCCCGGAGATTCTGCTGGAGGCCGTGGAGTTTGCAGGAGTTGCCACAAAGGGCGCGTTTGGCAAAACCGCGGTGCAGCCGGTGCTCCCGGCACAGACCAAGGCGGCTCCACGTGCCCGGCGGGCAAACGCCGCTGATGGCGGTGAAACCCGACCAACGCAGGCTGTTAAAACTTGTTCTTAAAAGTCCTGCTGTGCTAATCCAGAGAAATGCAAACCACTACGCTGACGTGAGTCAAAACCCGGAGAAAAGCAATTCCCCACGTCTGCAGGAATCAATTTAAAAGATAAACCGGTGGTTGTGTTCGCACGATCCTCCCCAATTCCTGCTTGTTGGCATCAGCACCTTCAGGTGAGCCGTGGGGAGGGCAGAGTGGGGAAGGGGCTCGGCACGTTTCTGGCCCTTATTTCTGTGGTGTCAGTGAGGGGCTGGGAAGACGCCAGGAAAAGTAAAATCCTTCGGATTTCCCAAAAAAGGCAAGCAGCAAGCTGGTGTCCAACTGCCAGCCCAGGCGTGAGCACGGGCGCGCTCGGGGCACAGTGGGGTGACGGCTGGGCTTCCCTTCGCCTCCTGCCCCCCATTTGCAGAACTAGGCGGTGATGACTCATTTAGCTGTTGCCTGATCAACTTTCTTCCTGCCTTAAAATAGCTCTCGCTCTGCTATCACGCAAAAAGGACCCTGAATGCTGTTATTCATTCATCCAAACCCGGGCACAGGCGTAATCCTCTGCCCTTCTGCCGCGTCCATCACAGGAGGAGCTTAAAGGCTTTGCTAGCTCTGGGTGCGCATGTCCCCGTCCCACGGGTCACCGGGAGCAGTGAGGCAGCTGCAGGGACCCCGGTGGGGCTGGCACTGCCCCTGTGCCCCCCACCAGCCCCGGCAGCACTGGGCAAAACCTCCCATCAGGGTCGGTGGCTGCAGGGCAGTGCCCAGTCCCAGCTCACCCTGGGGACATGGTGGCAGCTCCTGGCTGAGCCGCCGCCACACCGGCAGCTGTGGTTGTCCCAGGGCTGACCTGGACCTTGGAAAAAGTGCCGGGTGATGTCCCAACACCGGGCCGGGGGCCAGGCACAGAGACAACACCAGCCCTTCTGCGGTGCCGCTATACCACCCGCCCCCAGGACAGGCTCCCAGCTTCCACCCGAGCGGCTAGTGGAGAAAATGCCCCCGCAGGTTTTGCCGTTGCTGCCCAGCCAGGACAGCACGGGACGCTCTCCCGCATACGTCCACGGTGGCTCCGGCACCGGCACACCTTCAGCTCCTGCCATTAGCTCACCACTTAAAAAAACCCACAAAATCAGACCAAACAAAAACTGACCTTCGGGGAGGAGGCTCAGCCCCGCGAGCCCATGGGTGCACCCTGCCTCTTCTCCCACCCAAGCCGCGAGTGACTTGCACAACTCCGATCCGCCCTCGCCTGAGCCAGAGCCAAGAACAAGACTTTGGCAGTTGTGGAGAAACCCTTAATTACGCTCATCAGGGAGCAGATAAGGCGGGAGCAGCCTGGGGGAGCACATCCTCCCGTGCCGGCCGGCATCCTGCCTCTGCAAAGCTGATTTTCACCCAGCCCTGGGAGTGGGGCACTCGATTCTTCGCAGAAACGGACTTTTCCGGTCGAGGGACAGCCCGAGAGGCTGCAGGTGCTTCGGGTCAGCTCCAGCCAGGAGCAAGCAGGGTGCAAGGCGTGGAGGAGGCTGCCTGCAGCTCGGCCGTCAGCCATCCGGGAACGGCGCAGACGAGCAGCTGGATAATCCCAGGGGTTGGTTGAACTGGTAATGTCATGCTGGAAACAACAGTTGCACAGCTCTGCGAGGAACGCGGCCCGCCCGGAGGAGCGAACAGCTGTAAAAGCACTAGGACTGATCGCTCGCAGCCCTGGCGGTTCAGGGAAGAGCTTTGGCACCAAGCGTAAACGCGAATATTCCCTTCCCCGGTGTCTGCTGCGGCTCAGACAACAGATGGGATTGCTCAAACACCGCTGAAACAGCCCAGCCCTTTTTCCCCTGCTATTGCCACACTGCAATCGTAGATCATCCCTGCGAACACGCCGGAGCCGCAACCCCCTGTTTGAAGCCGGGATGAGGGTGACACCTTTTAGTGCTTGTTCCCCCCAGCCCAGCACCCCGCCGAGGGCACCCACCACTTGGCGGCGGCCGCAAGCCCAGGCCGGTAATGACTCGGCTGGGAGAGAAGGGCTGCCAGTGCCCCGGCTTCTGGAGGGAAAACTCTCAGAGGAAGTCTCAAAACTAGGGATGTTAAACCAGAAATAACAGCTTTGGCCAGAGCAGATTGGCTGAGCTCTGCCTGCAGCCGGGCCCCTGTGAAGGGATTGCTCTACACAGGAATGAGAAGTCGGGGAACGTGACTGCTCAACGGCTGCAGGTGTGACTATAATGGGATTGAAACTGGGATGAAAAGTAAATGATCAGGAAGAAAAATTACAGTAGTGTCTACAAGCAATCTGGATGGGGCCTTATCAGTCTCTCCAAAATGCCCTCCGTCACCTTTCTGTCTGCCACAGGGGATGCGTGGGCACACCTCCAGGGCTGCGGCCTGGGAAAACTGCTTGGGAGCAAATCCTTTTTCACGGA